CAACGACAACAACAACAACAACAATAACAACTACAACAACACAATTAGAAAAAAATATTACAGGCGGCAACCCCCTCCCCCCTCAGTAGAAGCCTTTGCAAAAATCTTATAATTGTTCTTTGTTTATAAGCCCCGTCACCACAAACCCTTCACAACCTACCCCCCCCCAACCTTTTCCTCTTTCAACCTTTCAAACCTTCTAATACTTCCCCCACTCCCTTCTTCCCTCCCAACCTCCACCCCCACACCAAGACTCTCGTCTTCCCATCTTTCCCCATATTTCCCACCAAAAATCCTTTGCAGATCCTCGCTTATCTTTTAGAGGAAAAAAAGTGGAAGAAAAAGTAAACTTGAGCCTAATGAGACACTCTAGCCTGTCTCTGTGACGTGGTGCGTTACACACTTGACTGACATGCAGAATTTCGAGGGCTCAGCTCGATAAGGATCGGTTTTTTTCTCCACCTCTTGTCTGGAACAGTTCCCTACAGTCCGGAGATCTGACAGGAAGCTAAGCGTCCTGGGTTTTGAAATGACATTGTTTCATGCTTAGAAAACTGTTAAACTAGAACAAAACAATTAAACAAAACAAAAAATGAAACAAAACCAAAAACTAAACCGAACTACGCAAAATAAGGGAACTCCCACGCATAAGGCGACAATAAGGGTTATTTCCGTCCGTTATTTCCTGCGTTTCGGCACAGAAAACATTTGGAAGGAAAAAGCAAACTTCCCCTATCATGACATAATAAAAAATTGCTGACTGACACTTGAAGCCAAGTCAAACTGATTTTATCGCGCGAAGGACATTTTATGCACACATTCCCTTGTTGACGAAAGCACGACCATGAGTCACACGAGAACGAACCCCATATTGAACCGCGCAGTACTCATTTTACCAAATGTTTATTCTTTGGTCGCAGATCTAAGCCCTCACTGAGAGCAAAGCTAACTGTCACTCACGTTTTAAAAGGATTGCTTGATTTAAACAACTGTTTTCAAAGTTCAGGAAATAAATTCTTGTTATTTTTATTTTTAAGCGTTTCTGGTGCCTTTCCTTTTGTGTGAATCGGTGCTCACGCCTTAGGTCTGTCTTTGACATTTTATATTTTTACATTTTTTTCCACCAAAGTTTGTCTTTCGTTTCTGTGATAGATGATAAAAACCTCCATTATTTCAAAACCCCCATAACTTCTTGTGAGCCAACCAAAATCAATTAAAAAAATAGTCTGAACGGCTGTCTTAGTCTAGTAGGTTGAGTTCAAATTTTCTCATGTGGAAGCTCCACTTTTGGATCCTTGCGGAATCCCAATTTATTTCCCTGTCTAACTGTTCTAGCTTATGATGTTATCGAGGACAACATGAATAATAGCCTAGGTTGTGTTTAGTAGAGCATATCATTATGTGAGGCTTTTTGGCGAAATCAGGCGGTTCTTCAAAATAATGAAATTGAACATAGATCTGCCGGCATTTTCCTACAGTTTGGCAATTTTTATCGAATTGTTCTCTTTTTTAGCTCAACAGCTTTCATTTTCTTTTGAAACACATTTCTGTGTGGATTTTACGGAAAAACGTTGATTAAAGACACAAGAATGTTCATTTTCAGTTTCCAAAGACTCTCAAGTTGTGGATGTCTCCTAACTTTGACGGCCATTTTCTAGCTCTTTTTACCTCTGAAACCAGGTGATACCATCTCCTTCAATCGCAAATATCTAGAGTTATGTTCAAGATAAATGTCGTTTTTTTTATCGAAAGATAGAAAAATGAACAAGCGTCAGGATGACACCAATAAATCCACATGCCCCAAGATTAGCGAGCGCCTGATTCCGTCGCGTCATGACACATAATATTATGATGACTGCATGGAGTAATAATACTGGGGTGAATTGGGTATCCACTGTTTGGATACTATTTTACCACTATATAGAAGATCCCATTGCTCGGAAAAAAAGATACATAAAGAAATAAGTAGACAAATGGAAAAAATGAAAATGAAAAGAAAAGACCACACGCAACAGTCCAGTCGAGAATGCAATATAATATTTCACATCTTCTCTTTTCCGTTTCTCAGACAGATTATAAAAAGATCCTTTCCACATGGCAACAGGAGAAAGTGCTGACGTGAGTGATCACAAGATCGAGAGTTCTGTACAACATCCATACATCTATGTCAAGTTTAAACCTTTCTCAGTTATCGATGTAAGGCTTGAACAATTACAACAGACAGCTGAATTTTAGGGTTCTTATCCGCCTCAAAATGGCCAATGACATTTATTGTTATGCCGTTGCCCTTTCTAAGTCACTTTCTGGCGTCCTGTGTTCTTCAGTGTGAATTATGATATAATCCACAAAAATCCCTCCCACTCAATTCTTCGCTTTAGTTCTGTTTTGTTTTTATGTTCTATTTTTGTTTTGGACGGTAATATCACTTCGACTGGATCACCAAGTGCAAAAGAAAGTTTAAAGTACTTGAAGGCTTTCAAGTTGGATCGAATTCGATCAATATAAAAGAGTCGTTCACCGTTCTATACGAGCTGCTATGTTAAGGCTGTGATAAAGAAGAATTGAAAGAAAGGGACAGAGAGAGAGAGAGAGAAAGGAAGGGAGAGAGCGAGGGAGAGGGAGAGATAGAGGGAGAGAGAGGGAGAGAGAGAAAGAGAGAGAGAGAGAGAGAGAGAGAGAGAGAGGGGGGTGGAGAGGGGAGAAAGAGAGAGAGAGAACAGGAAAGGGA